GTGAGTGCCTTAGGTATGCCCAGGAGTGGCAGTGTCCTGGTGTCCTTGCCCTGTCTCTGCAGGACAAACCACAGTCTTTGTCTATTTTTCCCTTCCAGGGGCTCCTCCCAGTGCTTCTATTCAGCTTCTCATTGCCCACATCCCCTCCCCACTCTGACCCTCACTCCAGCCTCTTCACAACCTGCCCCTTTTCTGGAAGGTACTGAGGGTTGAACCCAGGGCCTCACCCATGGTATGCAGGCACTCACCCCCTGAGCTACACCCACAGCCTCACTCTGAGTTCTTTTCCCACACTCCGTCTAGTATTGTGCTGAGCCCTTAGGGACCATTTGTGCCTCAGAATGCTGCCACTAGGAGGGTGGCTATACCACACTGCCAGGTGCTGCCTCCAGCTCAGCCCTCCTGGCATTTAGAGATGTGTGTGTGGAAAACACTGCAGGAAGGAGAGGGCAGACAGTGGCTCCTGACCTCAGTCTTGCCCTGTTCACCTTAAGTGGAGCTGAGGACTGAGAAGCCCCAATCCTCCTGGAGTCTGGGCTAGAGATGACAAGATTCTGGTTTAGGCCCATCAGAGTAGAGGACGAGTAAAGGCAGACAGGGAGGGCTGGGTCCTCTGGCAAGTGCCCAGTGAGGCAGGAGTAAGGGAGGACTGTGCGCTCTCCATGCCACCCCTAGACTCTCTCTTGTTCTAGTCTGTGACAGTCCCTCTTCCTTCTTATCTGTTAAGTTGTGGCTTTTCCTAGCAAAGACAGATGGAGAAAGAGCCTTGATTTCTCAAGAGTCTCTGACCGTGGCTCAGAGGGTAGATTTTTACCAAGTGCTCCAGCCTCTGAGTCGACTTTATGCAGTGGATTACCCTTTTAGAGGAAAAGTGGATTATAAATAAACAGGCCAGAGATCTGTTCAGGAACCCTTCCCACCTCCCGAGAGTCAGGGGATGGAGTAGAGAGAAAACACTGATCTGGAAAGAAATAAATCATATGCTCCTCAACAGGACTGTAGGATGTATATGAATATGATTTTTTAAAGAAAAGAGTCATGTGGTCAAAGTGTATCATAAGGTGAATGTAAGTTATCTGAGCACTATAGCCTTCTGTTAGTGTAATGCAGGCCAAGAATCTCGCTTTTCTGGGTTTCAGGCCAATTTGAGGAATGTCCAGATGGTCAAAGGCCTGGGCAACAGGACAAGGGCAGTCTGGAGTTTGACAGCACCATATATAAGGGTAATGTCCATTTGCACTCAAGGCCACCCTCCAACTCTAGTTGGCTTCTTGTAATAGCTGAGGACCTTGGCAGGGTTTGAGTTAAAGCTTGGCCTTGACCTCTACTCCCTGCCCAGGAAACTGTAGGGTGCTGATGGAACTCCAAGAGCCCTGATCCGACATCCCCAGGATCTGACATCAGATTTCACCCTCTGCGATGAAGACAGAGCTTGGGGGTCCAGGAAGGGAACAGAAATGACGTGTGGCCCCTCACCTCTTCTTTCTTTCTGCTCCTGCGGGACCCTTCTCATCACCTGACTGTCACCTCTTCCCTGCAGTGATGTGAAAAGTGAGGTCACAGATTTTAAAATATTCTGACTTCATTAACCCTGTGAATTCTGCCAGACTAAGCCAGACTCTTCCTTGACCCCGTTTCTGCATGCACGCACAGACATGCATGCACACATGCTCACATTCACACTCACACTCACACACATGTAGGTTGCTGGAGGAACCTGAGCTCTCAGTACCCATTAGTCCCAGTCCAAAGGTATTTTTCTGTACTCAGCTGGGGGGGCTGGAGATTTGGCTCAGTGGCTTAGCTGCCTGCCTGGCAAGCACAAGGTCATGACTTTGATCCCTGGTACAAAAAAGGAAACAAAAAAAGAAACGAAGGAAAAAAGAAAAGAAAAGAAAGGAAGAAAAACCTCCTGTGATTACATTGAGTCCATCCTTGTAATCCAGTATATGATGCCTCTGTACTCTGCTGGTCCTCATGCTATTTTCCACTGGAGCTTCTCTCTTCTAGTGGCCTCCTTTTCCAAAAGTCCTGACTCCAAGGACAGAGGAAATCCAGTCTTTTATTCCCTCTTGGGAAACAGACCTTGAAATTACTCAGAACAGACATCTCTTAGGGAAAGATCCAGAAATTTCATCCCCATTGTCTGGTTGGACCATAGCAGTGATATTTGACAAGTTCCACATCCATAAAATGAAGGGATTTATCTAAACCAGTAGTTACCAAACTTAGCAGCACATCAGAACTGCTAGGAGACTTTTCCACACACCCTTTCCTAGTCTCTTCTTGTGCACTGTGAGCCAACCTCTCTCTCTAGGGAAGATACGTGTTGGAAAATATGCCCCAAGTAATTCTGATATAGAACTATATTAGATGTGGGCCTTGACCATGGTGAGTTCCAAAGCACTTTCAAGTTGTGGTCCTAGTTCCCACCAACACTTCTTTCCCAGCTCTACTGGGCTTACTATAGTTCTGGGAGGATGAGCTCAAAGGCTGCTAGCCTTTGATCAGTCCCTGGCTGTTTTGCTTGCAATGATTTTGGGTAGCAGCAATAACCCAAACTCTACCTGGGTGAACTTGTTGTTTGGGGAAAACTTCAGACCCTGTCTTCTCAAAGAGCTGTAGCTAGATGAGCCAAGCAGGAGCTCCCACACCTTCTCTGGCTGCACAGACCTTGAAGGGGTAACTCCTCCCCTAATTCCCAGAGCAGACTCAGATGAGGAAAGGTTAATTTCCATCGCAGCTGCCTGACAGCTGGGGCTGACAGTGACAAAGTGGAAAACCAGGAGACCAAGGACAAAGGGGAGGGATGATGGGGCAAGATGCTCTGCCCCAGGTCCCTATCAGTTGCTGGATGAGTCCCTGTTCCAAGCCTCTGAAAAAGACCACAGATAGCAGAGCATCCAAAGCTCATTGCTGTCCCCTACCAGTCAGGAAACTGAGGTCCAGAGACAGAGAGTAGGATTTGTCCAGGACCATTGTCCTTAGATTTACCAGGTCATCTGGTGCAAAATGAGAAGAGGCCAGCCAAGTGCCCCTAGCCCAACTGTCTCTCACACCATCTTTTTGGTAGTAGAGGATATCTACCTTGTACTCCTCAGCTCCCAGCAGACCTTGCGCCAGGCAGGACACAGCACTACTCTGGTTCTGGGGCCTGTGAGGAAGTTGCAGGTGCACGGTCGCTGCATCACCTCCACTGGGGAATAGCCGAAGAGCTCACAGAAGCTGTCATTGGGGTAAATGATGGCACAATTCTTCATCTGAGCATTGGCTATGAGAAACTTACAGCCTGGGGTGGGAGGCAAGAGGTAGGGAGACTGGAAGCCAGCCCTGGGCTCAGGCAGGGAAAGATTATAGGGACCGTGGCAGCAGGAAAGGGAGTTTAGATGTGGGAATTTAGTTGAGGGAGCAGGGCTGGAAGGGGGGGGAGGTAGGTTGGGGAAGGGCTCAAGGGGAAAGTCATTCCTCCTGAGAGTAAGGGGTGAGGGTGAAGGAGAAGGGGGGTGGATGGTGACCAGTAAAGCAGGAGAGGGGGCTCGGTCCTGGGGATTGTGGGAAGAGTAGGGCAGCAAATATTGGTGAAGGGAGAGAAAGGCTCAAGACCTGAGGATAGGGAAGAAGGGCCAGGAGAGCAGGGATGTAAGCAGTGGGGAGTTGGACCTGGGAGAGCAGCCGGGCCAGGAGAAAGGGAAGGAGTCAAGGAAACCTTTGGAGTTGGGGGTAACGTCTGGAGAGGAAAGGCAGAGTCATGATTACAAAGGAAGCCTGGATTTGAGCACCAAGAAAACTGTTCTGCGGAGAGGGGGAGGAGCTACATTCTGCCTATTCCAGGCTGGACGTGTTTAGGATGCTTCAAAGAGAAGGGTTTTGCATTCAGAATGGCACCCGCTCCCCTGTTTGCCCAAACGTAAGTTAGTAAAGGGATCTGACTGCTTCTGCCACCGACCTGGGACTCCGGATCGCCCCTCCTACATACCCACCCCAATACACACACACACTCTGGCCTTCGAACTTGCGAATGATGGTGTCCAGGTAAGTGTTTTGGGGCGCAATTTGGCCCCTACAGACTGGCATCTTTCCGTGGCCCCAACCCAGAGTTAAGGGCTCCTCAGGCTCCCTGCAGTCTCTGGCTGTCCTGGGGCTCCGTGGCATCCACTTCGGGGTGGGCGCCACCCCGGGGGAGGGCCTTAGGCTCCGGGGACCCACCCGCCAGCCAGCACTGGCCTCCCCAGTCCTCCCCAGTCCTCCCCGCCTCTCCCAGCCCCTCTCCTACCACTCCCTTTCCACAACAGCAACCCACCTTGCCTCCTCCCCTCTGCTGCTGCCCGGGAGCTGTCCGTGCTGTGGTGCTGAAATAAGCGCGCACCTGGGCTTGTGGAGTTCTCAGAGCCTAAGCAATTTCTCTCGGGCCCACCTGGTAGAAACTGGGTCATGAGTCCCAGGGTGTGGAGTATGGCACTGGGCCTGGCGAGGGAAAGAATCCTCTGAGGCCTCAGTCCCTCCTGGAGCCCCTTTAGGGTACTGAAGGGCAATTTTCTCTCCCGTTAAATACAGGAGAACATTGGGAGACAGTGAGCAGAAGTTGTTTGGGGCCACAGGCAGTATTTTGCTAAAGGCTCTGCCCAGAGTCTGACCTCTGGGCCTGTCCCTGATCATGACACACTTAGGTTTTTTGGTCAGCCAGTGACAAGTAGCCTCCAGTCAGGCTCCAGTATTCATCCTCTATGCGTGGTAGCAAACTCAGCCAAAGCCCAGTACTGGGAGTTGGGCTGTAATACACACGAGTGTACATAAAATATGCAATAAAGTGCCTTCTTTAGAGGCCTGAGAGCTCTTAGCATGCAGACATTGCTTGAAAGGGTAGATTTTAAACCACATATTAGTACGTGACCACTGCTGCATGAGTACTGACTGCAAATGAGGGTACTAGAAGAAATGCATGCATGGAGAGAGGTTTATTGAAAGAGATGCTCTAGGAGAGAAGGATAAGGGAGAGCACTGTTTACTGAGCATCTTGGTGGGCTTGGAATGCTGCAGAGGGTTTGGTGGTCAGTTTTGAGCTAGGAGGGCAGACATTCAAAATGGAGCATGTGCCTAAAGCAAAGGCTAAGGATGATGGCCCGGGGGTGGCGGGTGAGCTGGGTAGTAGGGGTAAAGGTCAACCGATAAAAACTATCTGCTGCCATTTGCAGTATCTAGATTTAATTGATAGGCAACCAAGTTGGGAAGATATATTTGAGCAAAATAAAGCTTAACTGATGGGGTGATGGGGGGAGGATGGCCAAAAAGGGTCACTGAGGCATTTGCTGGAGTCTGGTGAAGCCTGCAGGTCCTGGGTAGGTGTGCATTTGCCACGCAGAACCACAATGCCTGATGGAAACCTCATTGGCCACTGTAGCTGGGAGATGAGAGGGCTGCTGGTGTGGCGTCCTGGAGAAAGACAAAAGTGTCCTGGCCTCCCCTGTGTGTGGAGGGTCAGGCTGGCTGAGAAGAAAAAAATGGGGTGGTTTTCACAGGCTCAGTGTGTAGGATGCTGAGCTCTGAGGAGAGATTTGGGCAGTGGGACATCCATGCATTCTTTTACTCATTCAAACATTTTTGCTTACTATAAATGTTACACAGGGATATACTCCTGGTGTGGATATTAAACAGCTAATCATTGGCAAAAATAAGAATTTTACAGTACAGCAAGGTAAAAACAGCCACAGAGACATCAAATGAAAGTGCTCTGGAATTGGGGTTTGGAGTGGGAAATGCATGGGCTCAGTCACAACATAGGAACACGTCTAGAGATATATATAAGAAGAGATAAGAGCCATAGAGATCTTGTCTTGGACCTCTGTGCCCTGAATTTGTAACTTTAAGGCTCAGATCCTTAATCTGGGGAGAGCTGGTCCAATTTTTGGCCATCCTCCTATTAACTTAGCAATAGCCCTGGTGCACCTTCTCTGTGTTTTCTAGCTATAATACACTTCCCCTCAAGTTTCCCCTATTTCCTGACAAACAGTGGCTCTCAGGACTCCTGGAGCCTTAGTCCAGACAGTGAGTTGAAAAATATTGGATGTGCTCTATCTCTGTGGCCAACAAACTGGAAAGAAAGAGTTGGAAAGGGTGAGGGAAGGGATCTACCCCATCCTTTCCCAGGCCTATTCCTAGAGCACTAATGTCTCAGACATCCTCCTACAGCTCTCTTCTCACTATCTTCCCCCACCCCTATTGAGCCTGGAAAGGTGCTGTTTGTCCTCTGCTTGGTCCCCAGGACAACCAGCCAGGGGGGGCAGGTGTGTGTGTTGAACAAGGCCATCTCCGGAACAGAGTGGCTGGGGATGAGCTGTGTTTAAATATTAAAGAAGTCAATCATTAATCATTCCTGGCTTAATGCCCAGCTACCCACTGTCTCCATTCGAGAGGGCCTGTGCTGGGTTAGGGAGAACCACTGGGCAGTGTGTGAGACTACTTTGATCTCACGTGGCCAACAAAGAACTGATTAGGACCACAGCACACTATGCAGCCAAACACAGGGCCAGATCACTGAAGAGGTGCATGGCACACAGTGCTTATGAACTAGATATCACCAAGTTTAAAGGAATGTCCAGTGCTACTTGGGGCCATTTTGTAAGGGGGCTGAAGCAAGGTGCTTTTTCTTACTAGAACAGAGTTCTAGGGTTCTGCAGACCCAGCCAAGTCCCACATACCCTCCAAACCCCATATCTGCATTGGTAAGCCAAATCTAGGCTATTTGAAGAATCAGTTGTGGGGTTGAAGCCAATTCAAAGGACACAGCTACTAGCTAAATAAAACTGTGGATCCTGAACCTTGGGGAGGGTGGCTAGTGTGGCCTGGAACACAGAGCTATTTCCTGTGCACAGAGCCTCACATTTGGGTTTGCAGACACACAATCAAAGCACCACATGTATCCAGGTCTGCCGCAGTTGCACCCAGTCGGGCACTATGCCTTCAGATTTTTCCCTCTTTACCATCCACTCTCCTGGGTTCAGGCCCTCCCTGTCCCTCAGCCTCACCAGTGTCATTGGTGACTAGTCCTTGCTCTACTAGTCAGCTCTCATTTGTGAAGACATCTTGCGGTTGTGTGTGGAAATCCAAATGGTTAGGCTGATGGTGCTCAGCAGCAGGATCAAAAAGATGCCCAACAAGATCCACTGTCTTCGAGCAGCCTGTCGGGGCTCCATGCGCACACCCAAGAAGTAAGTATAAGGCAGGGTGCTGAATATCAGGACGTCTTGGTCGCCTGACCATCTTTCTAGGAAGTACAACCTGTAGGCCAGGCCCAGGAGTGCCAGGAACATGACAAAGTTCACACCCAGAAGTATCCACAGCAGGAATGTAACCTGGTCAGGCTTCATCTGCAGGCCCAGTAATGCCACCTTGTTTGTACCTCTTTCTGTGGAAGACAGGAACATCTCACAGAACAGGTGGGCCTAGCAAGTGGGCCCTAAGTTTCCTGTGGCTGTTGGGGGGATCTGACTGCTACTGGACTTGTCTGTCAACCTCAGGTCATGGGTGAAAAGGAGGATGTGAAAGAATAGAAGGAAGAGAAAGATATGGGCATAGGTAAGGTGACATACACCAGGGAACCTAGTCAGGAGGCAAGATGCTGACCCTGTGCTCAGACACCAGCCTGGCAATCTGGCTGGTGTGCAAGAAGCAACTGAGCCAGGGCTGGGCATGGCTATACTCAGGCCAAGTACAGAAAAGTTAGCCAGCAGCAGGGCTGTGCCCACTCAAGCTGGGCAATGAGAGTTATGGCTGAGTTGGCATAGAGAATGGCCCAGCACAGAGCAGGTTAGGGCTTAGGGTTACACTAAGGCTGGGCTCAGAATCAGATTAACTAACCTGAAAAGAAACAGGTGTAGTCAGGCCAGCCTAGGATTTCACCCTGTCGCACGTTCTCAACCACTAGCCAGTTCAGCAGTGGCTTGAAGTAGGTCATGATGGCACTGGTAGATATAGTGGACTGCCCAGTCAGTTCCTTTAGAACCTCTGGCCAGGGCTTGCTCGAGCCCAGCTTCAGGGCATTCCTGGAGGATGTGAGGATAACTGTAAGGCTGTGTGGGGGTGTGTCCACAAGTACTTCTATGACTACTTGGTGTCCCTCCAGGCTTTGCCAGCCAGACTCCTCCCACAGAGCTCAGCATAGTGGACACAATCACCAGCTTTGAAATATACTCATCTGAGTTTGAAGTTGAGCTCAGCCACTTAGTAGCTGTTTGAGCCTCAGCTTCAGTATTCACAAAATCAAGATAATACCAGTATCTGCCTTATAGGTTTGCTACAATGCTGAGAGGCAATAAATGTTAACTATTAACTGCCACTGATGTTTATTAAACAGTTGTGATCATTATTCTCCCGGAATCAGGTAGACACAAAGTGTGAGCCACAGTTTCCTGTGAAGTGTTCAGTGTCAGTGGGCAGAAGCAGCTCTTCAATCCTTTCTGGTCTTACAGAGTTTAGGAAGGTTTAAGATTCAAGAATGTGGGAGATATTCTGTGTATCACCTGAAGCACTACACAAATTCTGCTGTCTCAAGACACACCCAGCACTAGGTAGCAGGTCGTAGAACCTTGGCTTGGCCCACTGCACTTGCTCAGTAGGGGTACAGGCTATGCCAAAGCCAGGGCTCCAGGCTCTTCACCCTACACACGGCAGGGCAGTGACTGGTAGAGATGCTGGTCCTTCTCAACTTGTCATTCCCTGATCTGACCAATAAAAAGGTGAGGCTTGGAGGCCCACATGGAACCAACAGAGTCTGGAATAACAGACCCAGAATGAAAACCCAGCCCTGCTACTTCTGCATGTGTAACTTCTGGTATACAACTTAAAGCCTCTCATGGACTGCATTTTCTCTTCAGTAAATGGGTTCCATGAAAACTTCCCCACAGTGAGGATTAAATCACATAATGACTGAGGAGAACTTTGTAACTTGCAAAAACTTATACACATCACTTAATAACTGGGAGGGAATGAGGTTGGTAAACTAAAGATTAGTGGATTCTTGGCAGACCCTCCTGCAGAAAAATGTAGATATGGTCCCAAAACATTAAGGTAAAAGATGGTCAAGACTGAAAGAAAAGATTAAGGTAAAAACCTGCTACAATTGAAAAAAAAAGCAAAATACAAAACCCATGAGTAGAGGGTTTGGTGGATGCTGTATCTTAGGTAAAAAGAAAAAGATAGAAGAGGGAAGCTTCAGTTACTGAAAATCTAACTGTTCAGAAAGAAGACTATAGGTTGATGAGGCAAGATGTGTGAGCTGAGCCAAGCCTGCACCTGGTGCAGACAGCACAGGAGGCCAGAGACTGCAAAGCTGTCAGCCGGCATTGCCTGGGACGACCAAGTCTAAAGTGACAATCACAGGCTCCTGAACAAAGCCAGACCCACCCTCCACAGCTGTCAGGGTGAGGTAGAGAGAGTTTGGGAATGGGGTCCACTTTGATTCTCCATTCCTAGGGCCTGGGCAGGGTGTTTGGATGGAAGGGGATGAGTCAAAGGTAGCAAAATCAAATTTTAAGATGCATTAGGCATATCAGATTCAGTGAAATGCTCCCTATGGTTCCACATAATTTGGAAGGTGAAGTGAAGGGCCTCTTGAGTCTAGAGTTTCAAAGTAACCAGGAGTACACAGCAAGACTTCATTTCACAAAAGGCAAAAGAGCAGTGAAACCTTTCTTTTTCCTGCCTTGCTGTGAAACGGAGAGAAATCCTGAATAAACTCTTTGAAATGAACCTATTTATCTATTCATCTATTTATTTTTTGGTGGTGATCCTAAGGATTGCACCCAGGGCCTCATGCTTGTTAGGTTAAATCCTTGGTGGTGATCCTGAAGATTGCACATAGGCCTCATGCCTGTTAGGTTAAATCTTTGGTGATCCTGAGGGTTACACCCAGGCCTCGTGCTTGTTATGTTAGGTGCTCTACCACTAAGTTGCTTCCCCAACCCCTACTTTTAGTTAACCTCCAATTACAACATGCCTGAGCTCTGGATATCCCCATGTCCTAGCCTTGAGAGTTGAGTGACTCCTCTCATTCTTTCTCTTTTATGATACTCTCTTGCTCAGGGATTGGTGTATAATGCAGCAGGCCAACCTGGCCAGGTGCAGTAACAGCTGCTTTTCCTTCCTGCCCAATTCCCACCTTGTCTTTTCTCTCTCCCTCGTGCAGCCCACATTCCACTTTGCTGCCATTTCAATGTTCACAAACTTGTAATATCCTCATTTCTGAGGAGCCTCTCATCCTCCCACTGCCCAGAAAGTGATGTTTGAAGCTGTCAGTTTGGAAGGGTCAGTATCTTCCTGGATCAGGGGTCTCGATGGCGATATAGCAGGACTGGTGAGTGAGGGTGGGGTATGACTGGTCGTCTACTTTGGAGCCAGTCAGACCCTGACAGCCCTCTACACCCAGGGTGGGTGGAGGACGGAAGTGGTGAGAATGGCCAAGGTCTAATGCCCCAGCAAGGAGGTGGGAGAAGGAGGAATTAAAGTGAGCTGATGTAAAGAAAACAGACATCTGCTATTCTTGGTACAGAGATCCTTCCTTGTTTTCCAAACACAATCTTTTAACCCTCCACCAAGGCCTTCCACACCTCTCTCATTGTGTGGAGTCTAATTATTTCAGATCTGCTTCCCCCTGCTGGACTCAGGGTGATTGGTTGGCACTGGCACAAGTACATTTTTGCTGGGTGAATACATGAGGGGACAAGAATACAAGGAGTAGAGAGGTGCGTTTATATTGAAGATTCTCAGAAAAGCTCAAAGCTAGGAATCACCCAGAATGCCCCCTCATAGTAAGAAAAGGTACAGAACAAATAGACAAGGGAGATGTTGGTCATGCAAGATTCATCCCGTCCTGTGAGTAAAGCCCAGGGAGCCAGCATTGCAATTCCATCTGGCCTGCTGGCTACAGGCATACTGCATGGTAGACTCACAAGTACGCTCATTAAGTATGCAGAGGATACTAAATTAGGTGACATTCTGAATCCTCTGGGAACATGAGTAAGATTTAAAGCAACCTTGACCAATTAGTGAAACAGACACATTGAAAATGGTGGAAATCAGTGGGAAAAAGCCCACATCAGTGGACGGGCTGCACCTCTCAGTGGCTGAAGTAGACTTGAAGTTAATTTCACCAAGGCTATTACCCTTTAACTGATGGAGGCAACAGTGTGAAAGACAATGTTTTGGAATCAGTTCTGGGTTCAAAGCATGGTTTTGCTTCTTGCTGCATCAGGGAGTCGCCATCCTGTGGCCTCCCTGGCCTCTGGTTGCATTATTTGTAAAATACAAATAGTAATATTTATTTCGCAAAGCTAAGCGCTACTAGTATAAAACAGTAAGAACACTCATCAGAGAGCCTGGTGTGTCTTAAGAAGAGCTTTGTGCTCTCCATTCAGGTTCACCAGCCTCTCCTGGTCTACTTCAAGAGCACAATGAAACAAAAGGAAACACCACAGAGCAGGAGAGATGGTTTGATTGAGTGTCTGTATGTCTGTGTGTGTGGTTATTAGCAGAAGGGGTCCAATAGTGTCTGACCATAAAGTGGTCAGCAAGAAGCAATGTGCTCCAATTCATGTAGGAAAGAGTGCAGTCTGACATGAGGGTGATGGAGCAGCAGGATGGAAGCTCAGTGAAGTTCTGCCCCGGTAGCCCAAGGAGGCTGGGTGAGGAAAGGGGGCCTTGAGCAGGGCTGCTTCCAAGGGAGACAGAGCAGCTGGGGACAAATGAGGGAAGAGGCCACTCACCCGAGGATCCTCCCAGCTATCTTTGAGCTATAGATGTCACACTGGTGCAGTGGACCCACGTAGCCCGAGGCATTGCACAGAGCTTCATGCAACTGGAACTGGAGCACCGTGCTAACGAAATATCTGGAACACAAGGGAAGGTTGGGGGATAGGATCAGGGTTGAGAAACCCCAGGCCACTTCAGCCTAGGCAGCTCCGGTTTGCAAAGGCCACAAGGGTGCATGCCAGCAGTCACCACCTGGTGCAGGCTGCCTGGGCAAGGCCTGTCTTGAGTTGGCCTAGAATACAAGGACCTTCCTTGTGTAGCTTTGTGAACCAGTGGTGACCCCAACCCTTACCTTCCCCTTTCCTTTCTCCCCTGGGCAACAGGGAGGATTTGGATTAGAATATTCCCACCTTCTCTGCCCTTCACACAGGATCTAACGGAGAAACCCAAAGGCCTGCAGGGCACAGACCTAAGAAGGCTGTGCAATCTGGTGGGAAAAGGTAGACAGAGGAACAGGTAGCATTTGGACCGAGGGCCTTGCTAGATATTGGCAGCCTCATCCCATGCCTCCCAAAGCCCACCTCCAGAGCTGACTCTGCTGATAAGGCCCAGAGCTTTACCGCGTGTAGGGTACATTGGCAGCAACATGGAACTTGGCAGCTGGGTCAAAGTCGTCCTCTGTCCGAGGAACAGGTGCGCACAGGCCTTGGTACTTTAACCTGGCAGGAGAAAAGCAAGGTCCTGGTAGAGGTCCCTGAAGGATCTCAGAGCATACGGTTTTTCAAAGGACCTGGGTGGTCTACTGCAATTGGACCTGGCATGCAGACAATAGTCGACATATTTTCATTCATTAAACAACTGAAAACACTTTGGATTGGGAATCAGAATGAAACCATAAGAGCAGATAATATTGAGCACTTCCTCTGCGCTCTGAGCTGTGTGTATGGACTCCTGCACTCTCTCAACACAGGCCTAGGTTCTGGAGAGGTGTCACAGAGGAAAGGAGCAAGGCCAAGTCTCTGCTTGCATCCATCCTAATGAAAGGGAACAGATTATGGGGCAGGAATGAGGTAACTTCCTCTAGTACATAGTGCTAAGAAGACACCAGAGAAACACGCCTGTGGCATGGTACTACTATTATTGTGCCCTTTGCACCGATGAGGAAACCAAGATTTAGAAATCAAGAAAGTGGACTTAGGACCCAGCACTAGTCACTGGCAGACTGACTGCATGAGGCTGTGCTGGTCCTCTGCACTGTGCTGCTGTGGGAGACTGTGGGACTGACTGTCACTGAGCCTTCGTATACAATGACTGTAAAACGGGGAGTAAAATGATGTGACATTTGACAACGTCATTGGGAGACTTGGTGTTGTACTGTTGGTTCACTGGTACCGGGGAACCATCCCGGGGTGAGTAGACTGTTGGGAGGTTCTTCTGGAGGTTCCTTGCTCAAGGCCCAGGCAGCAAACCCTCCTTCAGCCCTGGAACTCACTGGCTGGTTGGAGGTGAGTGTGGCTGGTAGAGAAAGAACAGGGCTCCTTTTGGATGCCTCAGAGAGCTGGGGTAGTGAGGGGAAGTGCTCTTGGAGGAAACAAAGTCAGGGCATTGTGGACTCCACCAGAGAGACCTGCACTTGAAATCACGGGCCGGGGGTAGGAGAACAAGAGGAGGAGGAGGAGCACCCAGTTCTGCCCCTGCTGGGGTGTGACCTCGACCTGAACATGTAACCTCTGTGAGTGCTGGACACTGCTGCGGGGAAGTAATCATTTTGAATGAGGACAATACAGAGTGGTAGTAGAGGAGCTGCAGGTCTCACACAGTAGTCCATGTCATCCTGTCCAGCAGCCGTAACCCAGTCACTATGACACCTGGTGGATAGGGAGAAGCTCTGCTCATCCCTATTTAATATCCAACCAAAATGACCTGCCTGACTGCAGGCAAACGCCTTTGAAAGCTTTGGGATGCCAAGCCTCTGGCAGCCAGACCTGTGTGTCAGGGCAGGGAGCCTGCCTCCCTGCTATGGCCACTCTTTCCCAGAGGACAGAGCTGAGGCCCTGTTCATCTGTCTTCCCGGCCTCACTGTGGGAAGAAGGTAGGAAGGAGGTAAGGGGGCCTGCTTGGCGGTCAATGTTCTGTTCTTGAGGAATTCCAGGAGCAATCATGATGGGAGTTTCCTAGCCAGCCAAGGAACAGGGGAAGCCTGTCAGGATGCCTTTTTCACAAAGAAGACTGAGGCTGGAGAGATTGAGACCAGCTCAGTGCTGGTGCCAGATTCAGAATGAGGCTTCAGGATTCCCCACACTGGCTCTGTGCACTACAGCATGGGTGCTTTTGTCTGCTGGCAGCAAACATCCCACACTGCCTTGGGGTTTCTCTAAGCCCAAGAGTCACCAACATTGTACCCCACTCTGCTTTTAAAGGCGAGGCCAACACCACCCTCTGGCAGTGGTGGTCAAGCTCTACCTACACCATGTGTGGGGATGGAGCTGAAAGGCCAGGGCAGCACCTTCCCACCTGAGGTTCCACCACTCCTGGTTGTAGATGTTCTTGTCAATGGTGCCATCGAAGACCCTCCAGCGGAACAGGTCCATTAGATAGCTGAAGGGGATGAAAGCAATCTTCTCCAGGGCCATGCCCATCAGGTAATTGACTTCCTCCTCTGGGGATGAGGTCAGGGCAATTAGTGGGTAGCTCCAGAGCTCTCCCTCCCTGGATGGCCCCACCGACCCACTCCCCTCAAGCTGCAACCCCAGGTTCAGGCTGCCTTCCTATTGTCCCTTTGGTCCCCACAACCTGAGTCCTGTTGCTGGAGGTTGATCAGGCCTGTGCTGAACAAGTGTCTGTGGGAAGAGGCAGAGAGTGTGACCATTGCCCCCACAGCCTCTTCAAAAGCAGGGTTGGCACCTTCCCGGAAGATTACAGACAGGTTCTGGTATTGCATGAAGTATTGGATATGACCCATCTGGTGGAAGACGGACAGCATGTCTTCTAGGGTCACTTCAGTGCATTTCTTGACCCTAGAGTTAAAGGACAAAGATCAAGAGCATGAAAATGCGCTGGGCAGATGGGTAAACTTCTCAGTTCAGATCTCTTTAAGGAACTGGCATGAACAGGCTGGGGATCAGAGGGCTTTGGTTGCTGTCTTTCCCACTCCAGGCCCTATATCCAATCAGTGACCAAGATCATGGCTTCCACGTCCATCTGCCCTTCTGTACTTCTGGCTTACATCTCCCCTCCCTTGGCTGGGCCCTCCCGTCCTGACTCCTCCCTTAATGTGGGCTGTGACAGGCAGATGTGGGATGGGACGAGGATGTAGAATTGTAGTTCTAGCAGCTGGCCATGTTGATGATAGTTACCTGAAGTCATTGCCAGTGTAGAAGTCCCAGGCAGAGGTCTGACATTCCACCGACCGTCCATCGGTCGGCCTCTCCAGCATTGACTTTTTCCAGAAATCGGGTGGGACAGACAGCATCCCCAAGGAGGTGAAGAATTTGTCAGCCTCTTCAAACATTTTCTCAGATCTCCAGTGCTGTGGCGGGGAGGGAAAACATGTACACTGCCCTATTGTCCCAGGGACTGGAGGGTAGGGACATCCAGGGGCCAAGCACTGACCTGGCGTTTCATCATGTGTGTGATGTCTACGAGGGGCTTCTTAGGGAAAGGCAGAACCATGTCTAGGATGTTGTTCCAGGACTGAGCCCACATGTCCCCTGGAAGGAGAGTGGAAGGGTTAAGAGGAGGTGACAACAGTCTGCCTGCTGACTGAATACTCATCCCTACACCAGCAGACCCTTACCCAGCAGGTGGGCAGGGATAGGCCCCTGCAAACTGATGAGTTCAGGCCCATAGTGGCGGTACAGGGCACGGCGCACATATGCATGCAGATTTAGGTAGAGAGGCTGCAGCTCCTGGTAAATCTGCTCCAGGTCTTGCTCCAGGGTGTCTGACTCGTACTTAGCACGCCACAGTTGTCCCATGTCTTTGTACCCTAGGGCAGGAGAGGGGACTTGCCAGGCACTCACCATACTTAGTTCGATCTTGCAGCAGGAGGCCTAGGTGCCTCTTTGGGAAGCTGTTCAAGCTCCCTGGTCGTCTGGATCTTCATCTACAAAATGGGACTATTACCTGCCAAGGCCGATATCCATGTTGGGTCGGATCAGAGAGGGAAAAGCGTGAATCGAAGCCCCAGTGTGAGCTCCTTTCCATGCCTTCAAGGCTCTGCCTTCTCTAGCTCACAGTGAGTCCCTCCTCATCCTCACCATGCCTGCAGCCTCCTTTCCTCTGTCACCCAGCTTGGGCCCTCCCTCAACCACAGCCCAGTGGCCATATGGACTTCTTTCAGATTCTCCAAACTCTGCCACCTTCCCAGTGCGGGCCATTTTCTTCCTGCCTGGCTGGCTCTTGGCCGTGTTTTGTGCATGAGTAAGTGCTGGAGGCTTTCCTCATTTCCTCCCTCAGCACCATCTCTGCACCATCATCATAAGTGGTGTTAAAGACGAGTGTGTCTTGACCACGGTATTTCCTTATAGGACTCAAGCCCACAGGACAAGCATGCTTCTATTTTTCACCTAGTTAGACTCAGAACCTCTGTAGCATCCAGCACACAGTAGCTACTCCATTGACATTTGTGGGGCTCAGCTACAGGCCTGCACCTGAGGGTCTGGGATCCTGTGCCTCCCTCTGAAGACTCAACTTTGCCCCTTGTTGAGTACTTTCCTGTGACCCACTTGCATCCAGACTGCTCACCATTGAGTTGTGCAGCCTTGTTGCTGAGCTCCACACAACGCCAGAAAATGGGACGGAGTTGGCGACCCACAGAGTCCCGCCAGCCCTCCCAGGCCCACAGCAGCTCCCTGTGGTCCCTGGAGGTAGCCATGACTTCTTCGAGGTCTGTGTCCAGAAAAGAAGACACATGGGACTCCCATGTCGCTCCCACCTCTGCCATTATCCACCCCAGGTGCCTTTCTCCAAGGGAGCACAGTTAGGCTTGGGGGAGCCCCAGAAGGGGCAGGGCTTGGGCACCTACCAGGCTCCAGGATCATGCAGGGCCCTTCATCCAGGCACACTTCGGCCAGGCTGTACGCTGTTTCCATGTAGGCCACAAGCTTGTTGTACTGGGGGGACAAGTGTCACCCAGGACAGGCCTGTGCCTTGAGCTGCCAGTAGCACTGACTCCACAAACCAGAAGGGATGGGTCTGTTTCAAACACCCACCCTCCTCCCATACAGGAAGTTTGCTTCTGCTCTGACTGTTCACCTTCTGCCCCAGACACTGGTTCCCCACCAGGTATGATCCACCCATCCCTGGGCTAGGGCAAGTGTGCCTGGAGTCCTGGGGCTCTGTCCATCACCTCCCAAAGCTCCTCATATGGTAAGGCCGCCTTGCCAATTTCCTTCAGTTTACTCAGCATGCGCTTCACCGTTGGGTCCTGGATCTGGGTGATGTTAAACAGGTGGGCCCGGGTGCTAAAGTATTTCATGAACTGGGACCTCTCTAGTTCCTTCTGAAGCTGGAAAGAAGGTCACCACATTTGTTGTGGCAGGTTGAGAAAGGCAGTTGGTGTCCCCATTGAACTCCCAGGGCCATGACTCCCCTTCCCACTCCCAAATCCCATTTTAAGGGGCCAAAATCATTGAAGGTTTACTAAGAGGATTACTAAGAAGAACCATCAGACTCTTATGTAAAACAAGTTTGGGGCCACTAAGAGACCTGGAGCTTGCAGCTCACTTTAACATGTGCTTCGCAGCTTCCCTCTTTCCTCTGACTCTAGACAGGGGTCAGCACGTGTGAGTCCTAATCCCCAATAACCCCCGAGAAGAGGAAAGGACAGAAAGAGTAGGCGGCAGGAAGGTGGAACCATACCATTTCCTCTCGATTTGGCTTGGTGATGTTGGTGACATAGTTCCAAGTGGCTTCCACAAACTCCTTCAACACAGTGTTGGCTGTTTGTTCATAATAATTCAGGAACCGCTTTGCCTCAGTTTCATTGTAGGGCACAGCTGCAGGAAGGGGGTTATGTGATTCTGGGGGCCCCTGTCCCCACCCAGAGCCCTTGTCTGTTCCCATGGTCCTTTAGGTCTGTAGTCACACCTAAATTTGCATCACCCACAATCCTAAATCGTGCCAAGAACTGCCCATAGTACAGAATCACAAGTAGGGAAAATCCAGGATGAGTCCATCTTGTTCCCATGATGAAGAGAACTGCAGAGCTGGGAGGAGCTTTGTGCCATTCACAAGCAAATTCCGTATTATGACATCAGTGGCTTAAGGGTCTGACCTGGAATGTTCAATCTGGAAAGTCTCCACCCATGCTCTGTTAACTGTCCCGTTTTATAGCTGAGGAGGTCTCTGAGATTCAGAACAGTCAGGCTACAAAGCCAAGCGGAGAACTTAGGACTCTGGACTTTTAAAACAGAACTCCTCTTTCCACTTGGGTTTTTCTGCAAGTAGAAAGAGTGGGGTGGGGTTGGAACCCCTGTTTTGTTTTTTTTTAATGTGCTTTTGAGACAGAGTCTCGCTGTGCAGTTCAGGCTGGGCTTGAGCTCATTTTGTAGGCCAGGCTGGTCTCTAACTTGCAATGATCCTCCTTCCTCAGCCTCCCAAGTGCTGGGATTATAGGCGAGTGCCACTATGCTCAGTTTGGAGCCGCTCTTGGACCTTAGCCAGAGGTTGATGAGACTCCTCACCTTGCAATGCTAGGGTTGCCTCTAAATAGATGGGTAGAATGATGGGTGGGTGCATGGAGCATGGATAAATACATGAAAGTGACATTTCCGGGTGTTCAGGCTCTGGAAATCCCATTGTTTCCCCAGGTTCATCTGAATTGCCCTCTTACATTCACATGTTTTGATCTTTCTTTGTGTGTTTCATGGGACATATGGTCATGCCTGGAGCTATTCAGGGCGTTTCTTCTCCCCTTTAGAGCTGCTTCTGCAGGAAAAGCTGGGCATTACACATGTGCAGTCAAGGGAGCAGCAGGGTGGAAGGAGATGCGGATATACGGGGCTGGTGCTTGTCCATGTGTGTCTCAGCACCAGCCACAGCCTTCAGCCCTCCGCCGCATCTTGGTTACTGTCCAGTACTCTGACACACACGGTCTGAGGAGCGCAGCTCCATCTTCCCTCCAGAGGTCCTTCCCATTTTCCTCCACTCACAGCCGCCCCCTGTCCTGTGTCATTCTCAGCCCAGGGCCACTCGCCCTTTCACATAAGCTGTGACCATGACCAGAGAAACTGAACAAATAATCCCCCAAATAGGAACTCTGTGGTCACAATGTATTTGAAATATAAGAAAAGCAAGACAAAAATCTGACATTTCTGGTTAAACTGCTCAACAGAGCTCACAGGGAAGTCTTTACAGCTTCAAGCCTGAAAACATGCATGATAAAAACATAATGAAAATACAAAATGCAGAGCTGAACTGGAAAGGAGGAAAGGCGACTGTCGATTGCTAGAGATGTGAGGAGGGCACCTGTGGCACCTAACTCAAAATGCAATGAAATCCAAAAAAGAAAAATCGAATAAAATGTTTAGAAGATAACAAAGGGCAAAGTTGAATGTCATTGGTGTCCGCAGTGATTTCCTGGACATGACATGAAAAGCACAGGCAGTAAAAACAGCAAAAAGATGAATCGAACTTCATCAAATTTAAAATTTTTATGCATCAAAGAACATCATCAAAAGTAAAAAGGAGGAAACCTGAAATGGTGGAGTAGAGGCTGCCAACAAAGTGTGGACTTCCGGGGTCTAGAGTCAAAACAACAGCAGAGAAGAGAAGGAAGGAGGTGAATGGGAAGGAGCTGCTAGGAAGACTGGAAACCGCAAAGCCAGAGAGAGGGACCAGTGCAGGGGTGCAGGAATGGGGAGGGCTCCACGCTCCCCTGAGCTCCTGGGAGGGGCATCTGCCCAGGAGAGATGGGGTGACTCTAGGGAGAGACACTGAGAGATGCCCTCAGCTACTATAAACTGCAAAAACACAGTATTTTATTCTGAAAGCGGCTCTTTCGTAAAGCAGGATGGAGTTGGGGAGGAAGTGCAGTTCAGTGCGTGCCACATTTGAGAGGATTTAATCCAGAGCCGTTTGAGGAAGGGATTAATTATTTGGGACTGAGCCCAGAGCAACTGCAGAGCAGAAGTGGTGTCACCCTTCCGCAGTGACTGGGTGGGAGATGGCCCCAGGAGATAGTAGTGAAGTTGTGCGGGCTGGCCAGAGCCCCCTGGGAGTTTAAGCTCAGACCAGGAGGGATGTGGGTGTCCCAAACTCCGTGCTGAGAAACCAGACCAGGCAAGTGTGGCTTAGAGAAGGGCTGGGTGTGCAGGGGCTGGCACTAAGTCTAGCAGACTGCCTGATTCCCCAACCAACCTACATCTTCCTCAGAGGTCAGCAGCTCTGTTTTGTAACATGAGCAAGGATGAGGCTCCCTGTGGGTGGTTGCCATGGCCTTGGGTATATAAAGGGCCTCTGGAGCAGGAGTGGGGGCACCTCACAAATCCACAGGCTAAAAGCTAGTGGGAGAAAACTGACTTGGGGTACACAGAGGGACAAGGAAAGTGGGAGTTGCTAGATTGAGCGCAGCCTCAAGGCAGACACCACTGACTGCCCATGTCCAGCAGAAAAGGCAGGGCAGCGTCCAGCATTCATATAGAAATGTAAGTGCGGAAGCAAAACAGGTCTCAACAATGCCTCACTGTCCCTCCCCATGTTTGCTGGGTGCCAAAGCTGCAGACCCTGGAAAGAAAAGACTCATTCAAAAGCACAGGGGACTTTTTTTGGACTTTTTCTTTTCTTCTCTCTTTCCTTCTCTCTCTCTCTCTCTCTCTCTCTCTCTCTCTCTCTCTCTCTCTCTGTCTCTCACTGTCTCTCTCTTGATTTTCTTTTTGAGACAGGGTCTTACTACGTAGCTCAGACAAAAAATCAAAGCATGACAAACAGTATTCCATGCAGTGGGAACTAGAGAACATGTAAGAGTAGACTTCAAGTGAGAACTGATCAGAAGAGTTAAGGAGAGTCACTACACACACATCAGTTAAGGGAACACACACATCAGGAAGAGATAACAATTGCAAACCTCTAGGCACCAAACACCAGTACAACCAAGTTTGTTGAACAAATGGAAATAAAAGATCAGATAAATGTCAACAAGATTATAGTGGGGAGACCTCAATATCCTATTGTTACAAATAGATCAACTCGCCAAAATATCACCAAAGAAATATCAGAGTTGAACCAAACTTTCAATGAAAAAGATTTAATAGCTATCTATAGAGCATCCCATTCAACAACAGAATATGTTTTTTTCTCAGAAGTATATGGAACTTTCTTCAACATAGACCACATACTAGCCTATAAAATAAGTAAGTGCAAAACAATCAGAATTACCCTACATACTATCAGATCACTGTGCACTGAAACTACAAAAGAATGGCAAAGGAAAGCACAGAAAGAATGCAAGCATATACTCATGAATGATCAATGAGTCACAGAAGAAACTGAGCGAGAAATTAGTTCCTCCTGGGGATTTAGCTCAGCAGCTTAAGCCCCTGCCTGGCAAGCATGAAGTCATGAGTTTGATCCTTGGTACAAAAAAAAAAAAAAAAGAAAGAAAAAAGAAAAAAGAAAAGAAAAGAAAAGAAAAAGAAATTAGTTCCTATTAGTTCCTAGACTCAAACAATAATGTCAGTACAACTACCAGAATCTGTGAGACACAATGAAAACAGTCCTAAGAGAGAAGTTTATGGCCATAATGCCTACATCAGAAAAACAGAAAGCCCAAACAAATAACCAAATGATGTGCTTCAGGTTCCTGGAAAAATAAGGACAACCCAAATCCAAAGCTAGTGCTAGGAGGGAAATTATAAAGATCAGAGCAGAAATTAATGGAATTGAGACAAACAAACATAAAGAATTAATGAATTCAAGAGTTTGTTCTTCAAATAATAAAATAGACAGATTCTTAGCCAATATTACCAAAAAGAAAAATAAAAAAGCCAAATCAATACAAGTAGAAATGAAAAAGGTGCCAGGCATGGTAGTTCATGACTGTAATCCCCGCACTTGGGAGGCTGAAGCAAGGGCATCCTTGTGAGTTTGGGACCAGTATGGGCTACAAAGTGAGCTCAAGTCCAACCCGAACTGCATAGCAAGACCCTGTATCAAAAAGACGCACATACACACCACACACAAAGAATAACATCACAATGCTTTACTGCCAAATTCAGATTATTAGTAACTACTGCTTTAAAGACCTGTACTCATTAAATTGAGGAATCCACAAGAAATGAATATATTCCTAGATACATACGAACCAAGATAAAACTAAACCAAGAAAATGTAAAAACCATGAATAATCCAATGACAGGCAATGAAATTGAAGCAGTAATAAAACCCTACCAACTAACAAAAGCCCAGGCCCTGATAGATTCACTGCTGAATTCTAAAACAACTTCAGAGAAGAGCTCATACCAGTACTTCTCAAAGTCTTTAATGAATGAAAATGGAAAGAATACCCTCAAAGTCATTCTTGGGAGCTAGTATTACTCTGACTCCAAGATCAGACAAAAACCCAACTGAGAAAGAGAGCTACAGGTCAATCTCCTTCATCAACCTAGATAAAAATCCTCAACAAGACACTGGTAAACAGAATGCAACAAATCATCAAAAAGATCATGCCTCATAACCAAGCAAGCTTCATCCCGAGGATACAAGAATGGGTCAAAATACACAAATCAATAAATGTAATACATCAATAAATAGAAGCAAGGTCAAAAATCACATGTTCATTTTAATGGATACAGCCAAAAACCTTTGACAAAATCCAACATTCATTCATGATTTTAAAAAGTATAGAGAGGCCTTATCTCAATCTGACAAAAGTCACTTACAGCCGACCTTTATGCCAACATCATATTAAATGGGGAAAACCAGAAAAAGACAACAATTTCCACTTTCACTACTCCTGTTCAAAACATGTTCAGTATCTAAAACATATGCAAGAGCAATCAGACCACAGAAAGTCACTCATAGGAAAATGGATGCATCTTGAGATCACAGTGTGAAGTGAAACATACCAGATATACAAACTTAAACACCACATAGTTTCTCTCATATGAGTAACCCAAACTCTAAATAAAAAACAAAAGAAAAGATGGTCTGAGGGCCTTGGCTCATTGTCAAGTACCTAAAAACCACCAATATAAACAAAAACAAAAAATCATCTCTAAAA